GAAACGTAAAAATTATGTAACATTATGGCTGCCTAACAGCAATTTGATAAAGCATGTGATTAATTATCTCATATTTCGGAAGTAACTGTACTACATACTGACTGATAAAATCACGTGCATAAAAGATTTGAACTACACAGGAACAGCGGTTTTCTATGTGGGATAATTTATGTTTTCCGAGTGATTCAAATATTTCTTCCACTTATCTGTCTGTGAACAGATATTCTGCGATAAGATCATATCTATTAGACTTGGAAATTTAGAACATTTAAAGATAAATGACAAAGGAAGGTTTGTTTTAAAATTTTTTTTCCCTCTATGCTCATTGTTTAAAATAAGCGTGACTAAGAACAATTTATTTTGAAATGGCTTAGTTTTGCATTACTTGCGATATATACTTCCCGCCTAATATTTTTTTGACAATATTTAGTTTGACGGGAAAAAAATTCAAATGCAACTGAAACATCTCAGCGCAATTCAAAAGCTTTTGACATCTAGGCTGCTCTTTTTTTTAAATCAAACAAAATATCTCGAAATAAATAATAATGACAATTCCTCAAATGAAACGACTTCTCTAAAACCTAATTACGCAATCGAGTTGGCATCATTAATCAAAAGGAAGTTTTTAGAAGGCGGGAGAGAGAGACTATCATGTTGACTTTTTTTGATTGTTTAATCTCGAAATGTCTAGAAAGAAATTTATCAAGATTTGGAATATTTATGTGTAAAAAGAAAGTGTTTATTATGCATCTATACATTCTGACAAAATGAAATAAAGCTATGAGCTATAAAGTTTTTCAAAATATAGAATGAAATTATTGTACTTTGAAGCCATTAGTTGATAAATATCATTGCTCACTGGCATCTACGTCATTGTTCACAAAGTCACTTTATTAACTCATGTGTTTCTGTCACTGGATGTATAGACAAATTGTTTTTATTTATACATTTGCACGTACAAAAGTTAGTGATATTATTTTCAGTGGAAAATAAATGCACTGAACTAGATGCCAATCTATGAAAATTAATCATTATGTACTTTTATAAATGCGATTAGCACCTGTCTATTCAAAATTTTCCACATATCTTAGGTGTTACAAATTAGTAAAAGATATGTCCGTTATTATGAACATTTGGTCAGCTGAACACTCCTGAGTTGAGCTTGCAGTCAGTCGAAACGTTGACCATGACTGGCTTACTTTCGGACAGAATGATACATACGCTCTAGTCATTAAGACAGTGAACAGCATAGTTGTCTAACCTATGATTTGACCCCAGATAGTAACTAGTGTCATGCATCTAGTCCCTCGTTTGGTTCCGACTGAATTCTATCAGTCAGTCAGTTAGTTGCGAACCCGAATAGCTCAGTAGTAATATCTCTAACTACAGCACTTGGTGACCCGGGTTTGAATATCAAAAGGAATATAAGTTTCTTTAAGATTTCAAATACTTCTTGCTGATGAGCGCCAGCAAGCACGAAACCTAGGTCTACATCTTTCTGCAGATTGCTTTCAACCATTGGATAATTATCTTTATTAAGTGAATTGGTCGTTAAATATAAAAACGTGCTTCCAACCCAGTTCACTTCAGGGACGACTGGCGGCTGATGCTAAAAGCAGGCACAAACAAAATGTACACTGTAGTTTTCAATAACAGCACTGTGTAACTTACTTAGATGATCACATCCCATCAACACATTTTCGTCAACACACTGATTACTAGCCAGCTACATTGATGCGTCGGCTGCATAGCGGTTAGGACGCCCGCCAACCATGCACATCGTCCGGGGTCCGATCCCCGGCCGACGCATTCCTTTACCTCGCTAAGCCAGAAATAATGCTGGTGAAGACGAAAGGTTGAGCATAAGGCTAGCAACCCCATCCTGTAAAATGAACACTGCTACAGAAACTTCAAGTCACTAGCTTGAAGCCCTATGCTCCACTGAGAACGTGAAGGAAAAAAACACTAGTTAACATACAGTAAAGAATATATGTTTCACTATATCAGATTAGGCATGATTTACGAAACCATCAGTAAAGAAAAAAGCGATGATTCAAGCTCTTAGTTACTTGTTGGTTTTCGAGTTTGTGAAGATGCACAACAGCACTTCATATAAAAAATTAATATTTTCAAGCAAATTACGGAAAATTTCCTTAAAAATTCCCAACTAGTACCAGGAGGCTGATTGACTGAGTTTCAACACAGAACTTTGCCCAGAAGTGCAGCAGTTCAGATTGCCACACTCAATGTAACACACAAAGACAGATCAAACAGAATAAAGAAGAGATTCAGAGGAACCGTATAAAGCACAAATTTGCTGGAGAAAGCATGATCATATCAGAAAACATGATGTTTTATTGCGTATGCAACATCACAAAGAGTGAATGCATCTACACCACTGACCACAATTTTGAGTCGTATCACAAATAGTCTCCAGCCATTTGTTCTCAGGATCCCGAGGACCTTAACAACTTAGCTCACACGTTCATATGTGGCTCAAACTAACTGTTAAACATTTCATGGACTGATGCCAGGTTTTAGGTTGTCTACGCCTTACACTGCCTATTCGGGAAGGCGATGACTCATTATGCGTAACACCTGTCCCAGCCATCTCAGTCGACATGGCTTCTTAACCTGATCGTTCCACTTACAGGAACGTTACAGATGATCGAATTCATCAGGTGATATTTATAAATCAGTATGAGTGAATTCTTGAAAAACTGATATATTCTCTTGGTGTTTCACCACTTATATTCTTTTTCAAGAAGTTCATTTCTTGGTTCACTAATCCTTGAGATGAAAAATATCTCTACACATATTCGCTAAAGCGACAGTATGTTATAAAATGTCTGATTCACAGATTATCGCAGTATTTATAGGCAATTTGAAAGTTAGCGAAATAACCATGTAGAAATAATTACACGTTGGACAAACAATTGATATTCTGGTAAGGTTAAAGACTATTGATTACCCCCATAATCCTCCATGTATATATATACACATATAATAAATCTTTGGTAAACCCATTGCATTTATTACCCAAAGAGCGTTTGTGCAGGCATATATATAGCGTATATGTATGTAGAAATCCTAACACTAGATTTTTGCGTGCATACCTATATCATTTTTAGTTTTAACCATTATTTTCAACAAAAAAAATAATTAATTTGCCTACCCTTGTTTTAAAGTGAAGAAATTAAATGAAATAATATACTTCATGTAGGTAAACAAATAAATATTCAGACGGCATTTTTAAAATAATTATTGAAACTTCTTAACAGGAGATGGGGATTTCAGATCTCTGGAACTGATTTTTATGTACGAGAATTTGAAGTGAACTTTTTGTGTGAGTGCTGATGCAAATAATCTGTTGCCTAGACTAAATAAAGCAGGTGGAGTGAAATCCATTAGCCCAAAAATCGAATGATTAGATCAGAGAATAGGAGACAGCTTTAACTGTTACGTCCATAATCAAGTTAAAATTCAGAATATTTTGAAGTCTGTCTATTATTATTGATTATGGAGCTGATAGTGATAGACTAATCCTGCCAGTTAAACATCACTTTACAAGAGACGATAGCAGGCAAATATTTTACAGTTATAAACTACTCAGATTCTGTTTAATTGTAATTGGGATGTATTTACGCAAAGATTCCAACTAAATCTAATTTAACAGCTTCTTACGCCGAATTTCTTATTAAACATCTTTGCTAAGCAAAAATTGCATCACATTAATTACTAATTGAAATCTTTTCAAGGATTAGGAGATATTTACCGGTATTCAGTAGCGAGGATTGATATGAAATGCCGTTTTTTTCCTTGATGTAATGGAAATACAGCAATTGGTTCTGCAGATTAACATATCAATTAGTCATCAAAGATTTCTAAAGTTATCAGGTTCAAAATGCAGAGCTAATATTACTTCACTTTTTGTTAGTAGTATTATTTGCATTATATAAAAAGACTGACCTTAAACATTTTGTATAATCACTGAGTTTCTTATGATTCTTCATTCTCACTTTAGCACAAAAGCTATGTGAATGAATATGCTGTGTTTTTAACAAATTTTAATGTGCAAACCAGAGAATGTTACATTTGTAAACGACTTTCATCTTTTAGCAGTAATGCGACTAATATGGGACAGAACTATGCTTACGCATTTTTTTTCACCACGTGACGTGGGTGAATGCTAATTAGTATGTATCATAGCATACTAATTAGACCAGTGTACTCTTGTATGCAAACTAAATATAAGGGTTTGTGATGCTTTTATTAGATTTCCTGTGAACAGTGATAGCAATGCCGAAGTAAGTTGGGATCCATGAAATCCACAGGGGTGTTTCATTTTGCAAAAATTGCCTCTCAAGGTCATATTGAATACATAGTTTTACTGTCTTCTTTTACTAACCTTCAATGAACTAGTTAAGTATAGGCAAGTGAGTTTTAGAAAACCAGTGAAACACTAAATGTAGACTTTTTAACTGAGGAGCGGAGAAAGTAATTATACATTCTCGATCTAATAAGTACCAGTTCAACAAGTGTTCCGACGGAATTAATCTGAATCTCCAGGAGATATACATGTATATATATATACACCTTCAGATGGATAACAGTCCGCGTTTACAAGACCTCGGTATTCACAGATTATTGTCGAAATCTACAATCAGAGCAGAGCATTAGATAGCATGAGGGTCATTTCCTTAATTCGGAAATCAGCTTAAAGTCATGTTACTAATTGTAAACCGTCTTCGTGTTAGCTATGGCACCTTTTCTATAGATGGAAACTGCCTCAGAGGCATGAACTCAGATAACTGGAATGATATTCATGTCAGTAGCATAGAATCTGATAAATAATTGTTCAACTGCATGAAATTTTGTAGCATGAAATAACCACTATGCAAATCCAAATTTTTATCACAACAGTTATTAACAAGTTGGTAATGGAATAAATATAATGAGCTTATTAGCTAATAGGTGATAAAATAAAAAAAGAAACTTACACAATTACATGATATATCACAGATGGCCATGTTTTAGGTCTTTCAAGAAAGTTATAAATTTTTGCTTGTAACTTCCGATATCTAGTTTCATTACGACTGATACGTACAGTGATTGTTTTACCATGCAGTGATGTTCGTCGTTGTGTACATTCCTGAGGTTGTGGTGGTACAAGATACTGTTTATATTCCACTGAGGTATTACTTGATAATTTATTGTAATCGGAACTACTATTAGGATTATAAATATCCACATAATTCGATCGATTGCATAATTCTAAATCTAAATCACAAAGATAAGGATCCACTCTTGTATCACTGTTAGCAGATTCCCATGGTATACTCTGTACATGATGAATTGTATCGTCATGAATCATACTACTAGATCCATGATCTTTTACATTATACGCTGAATGATGATGTTTCATCTCCATGTCAGCGGGATCTTTTGTTTGAATATCAGGTGTCTTTTTATCTAGTTTTCGACTTTTATGAATGTAATGATTGCATGTGTCCATAAATACAGGAAAACTGAACTTAGCATTCATTGGCTTACAAAGTGTGTGTAATTTCCAGTGACGACATTACTTGAAACAACATTCTTGGTGCTTGCTTAGACTAAATTCTCTTCACAATCAAGTATCTGCATATAACGATCATACAAGTAATAGTTATTAACAAAACTAGCATTAATCTCCAGGAGAGACAACGTCTGCTTCATGGGAATATGATCAAGTATTGCAAGAATAACGAAACATTATTTATTTTCCATTTGAATGCTTTCCTATAATAATATTCACTTCTTTATTACCATTTTCACAATATGATAGGTTTTATTGGTAAAGCACTTACATGGGAAATTTCTCCTTATCAATTTCTGATCTTGTGATTAGTTAAAAATTTAACCAATCAACATTAACCTTTTCAGGAAAAACGTTCTAATTGGTTAGAACCAGTTCTTTGATCTTCAGAGTTTAGTTAATTTGTGCTTCGGAGAGTAAAGCAGTGTTAATTCTGCCTAGAAGGAATATGCTCTTCTCTGGATTCAGTCTGATGAAACTGAAATCGCCATTGTTATATCTGAGAATCAACATTGTTTTAAGGAATTTTCGTGTATTTGAGAATCACGGATGGTTTCGATATAGAAAAAACACCCCGATTTAAATATTTAGAAGGAAAACAGATTGAGCTAAGAAATATTTACTTTTCAGTTAGATTCTTATCACTGCCTTTAATCTAATATTTATAATATTCTTAATACAACAGAAAAATTACGAATCTAGTGGCGTTAAGTTTGTTAACAGCAATTACTGAATATCAACATGCCAAAGGAGTGATAAATAACCAAGAAGATTAGAATGAGGAATTAAAGGGTAGAAATGATTGCAACAAGTGGATTGCATAATGGAGGGATTCGGGAAAATCAGAAGTAATTAAGGAATAAATTAGTGTTCAGGTCAATTGCCTAAGAAGCAATTAAAGATGAAGTAGTCAGAACTTGTAAAAGGCTCCTGAGGAGGGCGAAATTGACAGGAATTTAAATTCACTTAACGATAGTCAAGGTAAGGAAAGTGGTTGTACGATTTTCTTCTGAATACACAGGTTCAGCCTCTTCAGGTGGATTTCTATGACTTCAGTAGTATGCAGAAGATGAGCTCGTGAAGCAAAAACAGTATTAGTCAGAGTGAGACAAATAACTTTAAATGCTTCATAAACATCAACTTTATGCTCATTGTCTACGAGGTGTACTGATATAATGCTACAAATAGATCTCGTTTTTCCCTTGCTTAGACACTCAGGATGATGCTCAGAAATATGATGATGAACCTTCGCAATTGTAAGCCCAATGCGACTAACTGTACAGGAGCAGTCAAACTGATGACCGAACAAACAAGTTTTTTGATCGATATATTTCTCTGCAGTTTCTAAGACTTTTACCCACATCGATTAAAGTTGGACACTTTATACTGGCTATAAATAACAATCCTATTTTCATTCTGGATAGTCCTTACTAAAATTTATATCTACTTGGTAGTGTATTTGGTATAACGCCTAAATTATCACAACGGGAGACATGAGAGGTTTTATTAAAAATGAATTATTTTAATAATCCCAAATAATACGTCCATTGGGCAACGCTAATCTAATCCAAAACAAACTTATTAAACAACTTTTTCTGCAATAGTCAGAGAGAGAGAATTAAAGCATACTAAATGCGGAAAAGATATAAGCACGAAAATAAGAGTAAACACCCGAGTAGCATTAAAAAAAACGTAATTTTCTAAACTTCCATATTAGAAACTTGGTTTGCGAACTAACTTACTATACCAGAATAAGTCGATAAATTCCAACAAGAGATTAGCTGCGCTTCTTTTAAATTTCCTATTTAGAAAAATCACCCAATAACATATCTGAATGATAGGCATTGAAATGTCTGTCTTATAGTAATGATTCTAAATCAACGGCTTTCACGGAATCGGATGAAGTTTTCTATGTTACATCTGTCTCAGGTAGTTTCACTGTCAACCCATTCCTCACTTTATGATTCAGATATATTTACGGTTAACAACAAAAGACGCGGCCGCAGAGCTAAAACAGCTGTAAAACAACATTTAATCACAACATTTATTCACATCACAGCTTCGCATAACTCGTGATGCCTTCATTTAAGTCATTATCTAGTTTGCAGCTGGTTCTCGTGTCTCAGCTAGCAGACGGTTGTTTTGCGAATAAAGTGGTTGCTGGTTTTTGAGTCCATCTGAGATCAAGATTTTCATTTCATTTTCAATCACTACCGGTAACATAAATACCAGTCCGCCAAACAATAGCTGTCTCAGGTGATTTCAACATAACTTAACAAAATCTTTTGATTATCATGTTTTTTCATTGGGTTTGAAGAATGCACGTTTTCAACTGATGTCAAAATAAACAGTAAACCTTTTAATCCAACCTAAATAAAGACAAAACATTCGAGCACACGCTTCGTTTGTTATTGTAAATTCTTCGTAATAAAATGAAAAAAACGTTACCAATCAATGAAAATATAAGTATGCTCACAAAACTCATGCACATCCTATTATATTAGACTGGCAGAAGACTTGCCATATCACTTTATACATATAGTATCTTTTGACACTTTCCTGAAATTGTACAAGTTCACTGAACACACACTACTGGGAAGAGTTTCCTTCAAATTACTCACAATACCATCAGCAAGAGTGTTTTCAACTTACGTTTTCTACTTTCATTAGGTTCAAACTATCAGTATCACTGAATCTGTTTGATTCGACTTAATGAGATTGATTTTGGTGATGTTATCAAAGTTGGTGGTGAGATAACTACAAATGAGAGTAGGCAAACAACCTGCTGTTTCTATCATTAGTCGAAACTAAAAATCCTGTTTATTTGAAAGTCGAATTATTTGTCATGATTTTCAGTAGGATGTCTCGTATTTTCCAAAAACCAAATAGATTTTCTAAGTTAAATAATTGAGAAAACTTGTAGAATATCTGTCCTGAAACGCTAATAATGTGAATGTTAGTGGCCTGTTTGAATTTATATTTCCTCTAATTCTTTAAATTGTGCTCACACACATCTTGGACTGGCTTTCAAACTACCAGATGGGAAGGAAAAATGCCAAAAGGGACTAGTCTCTGCTTCAGATCGATTAACATTGCGCCACATGATATACTAAAAATTGCTATTCTACTTAGAGTTCCTGAATGAGGAGAAATATCATGCAGTAAATTACTCTGAGAATTCTAAACGCTATTTAGGTATTTTGTTCAGAATACAGCAGTAACTATTATTTTCCATAGTTCTATTTGTAAGGGTTAGTTATGTTTTTACGAGTTGATCACAAATTGATATCCGTTTGACAACCATTGAAAAACAGGGAGTACTGGACAGCTGCTGTTTCATCCTAGTTTGGGAATCATCGGCAGTAAGCAGTCGCTGGGGTTCAAACCCAAGACCTTCCGGTTACAAGGCCACTAGTAACTTGCTACAGGATGGAGTTTCCTGGAGTTCTAGAGAGAAGTCGTGACCAGTGAGGTGTCACGTGTGAGGATGGATGTCCCACCAATGATATTGGTTGGGGTCGCGCTAAATCACGAGTTGGTAGAAGTTAGAATTCATGCACTGGCCACTAAATCACGTCCCGGTGGCTGAATGGTATACGAGCTTGCCTTGTAACCGGAAGGTCCTGGGTTTGAACCCTAGTGAGTGCGTACTGCGGATGATTCCCAAAGAGCTAGGATGAAGCAGTTGTCCAGTACCCCCTGGATTTCAATAGTTATCATTATTACTACTACTAATTTATAAGTTCCTCTTGGATTCAGAATCCATGCCTGATTAATTCGTCTGGATAATTTTGAAACTGTGCTAGCTTGTAAACCATGATTGTAGTTATAAGATTGAAATGATTTACGCAAAGCGAAACTACCAACCAAAGCTTTGCTGTTTGAAAGAATAATTACATTAGTTTAAGAAGTTCTACACTCAAGTATTTTTTTGGATTTCTCATGCAAATAATAACCCCTAATATGAAAACTTTGTGCGTGTCTTGTGCACTGATAAGACCTCAGTATCACTCACCAGATTACAAGCCATAGGCACTTAATGAAGCTATTTACCGGACATCATATTTGCAAAAGACTGAAACCTTAACATTCAGGATGCTACAAATTTACAATACATAATAGCACTGATGGTAAGACAGTTTCAGATGTCCGTGACTTAACAGACTTGCGTTGATGTAATAGTTGATGACTGAAGGTGTGATGAAAAGTGGGGTCGCAGCAGGTTTCAAGAGAGCCTCCTCCAAATTACAAAAACAGGCTTTTTAATGACACATGAGACCTATCTACAAACTAGTTAGTCGCTGAAAAGTGAAAGCAACACGAGTATCGCGAAGCTGTGATGTGAATGACTGGTGACTAATTAATTGTCTTCTTATCCACCTGTGTTACTCTTTCAATCCTAGTCATACTGAATTGGATGAAGAACTACGACTGGCTAACTGACAATAAGACTCTCTAAGATAATCTCGGGTTGGCAGACTGCTAGGAATGCATTCGGTGATGACTGAAGTTCTAAGGGCACTGGTGGTAGAGCTTTAAAGGACACCCAAGATGTCGTTTCAGCTTCGATCATTACCAGAACCAATTTAGGCGTTAGGTTTCACGTCTACTTCAAAGGAAAAAGACAGAGGAATGAAGAAGTTAAATGTCAGGTTTAAACTATTCAAATTTCATTGGTAAAAAACGATTTTTGTTATTTTCTTCATTTTAAGAAGCTTGACAGTTAAGCCCGGCTCAGATATCTGTGTGGAAAGACATCAGTTAAGTTAGTATTCCGTTAAATTAAATATGCAGGTAATTATATCATTGAAACTGAGGTGTGTCATTCGCTAGATAGGATTCCACTAATATCAAAGGACAAAAGACATTACTGATTTTTATGATTAAGTATTTTTGATGAAAGGTTTGTTGACAAGCCTAACCTAAATTACACTTTAGTTACTAATTACACCTATTTTTGTTGTTCATTTGTCTTAACAATGAAACAGAGAAAATAAAAGTCAACGTTTATGTGCAAGATTATTTTGTTCGAATGTATGTCACCACGGTAACCTTTTATTTAACCAGCATTATTTTGAATTTTATTAAACGTAATGGATTCTCCAATGCTTTTATATGGACTGTATGAACAGATGCGTTGATGCTACACCTACAATTAGCTGCTGGTTATGTACACATATTTATAATTGATGACTGAATAACCCAGTAAATAACTCTGTGACATTTGAAGTGGTAAAT